AAACTTGGGCGGATTACCGATGAGTTTATTCGACTCATGGAGGTTTGATTCGACACTTCTAAAGATAATTATTCGTATGTGTGAGGGGAGGGACATAGTGATAGAATGAAAAAGTTGTTTGCAGCCAGTTCTTAAATTTGGTGCAAATTTTTAACCGGGTGAGTGAAAATGAGGCGCAACTTTGAGCATTCGTTGATAGAGGTTTTGAACGTGCCATAGTTCGAGGTGCCCTTCGATAACACATTCATTTTAATAGCTTCCCGAGAAGTACTGCCTAAATCTTATCCTTAAATGGATAAGAAAAGCAAACCTGGGTGTGGGTCTTTTGCCTAGGCCTAACGGGGAGAAAGGATGGGCTAGGGAAGGAGCTCTATAGTGGCGGGTAGCTTATCGCATGCGGAGAATTGTATTGATTATGTCAGATATGGGACAATTCACCGAAGGCCAAAAGGCCAACTTTGAGATGGTGTTATCAGAGTTGTTATCCTTACCGCTTCAAATGTCCTTAGCGCTAATACACTCCGATCACAATGGCGTATTTCTCTAACGCCATTTTAACCCTCGCAAATCCACATTTCGAAAGCAACTCAAAACTGAACGATAAAGACGATAAAGGCTTTACAAAGTGGGCTTATGAGGGCGAGAATGAGCTAATGGATGAGTCACCTCGCGCGCAGCTCATCACCTCATGACACGCAACCTGGATTACAACGTACCGGCTCTTTCAAATACGCGTGGAGGGTCCGAGAACAAACTTGTGTATTATTGGGCTTCCAAGTGACAGGGACGATGTTAAGTAAAGGTGCAGAAATCCAACCAGAGGTGCAGAAATCGGGAAGAAACCGTCGACAATGACGATAATAGAGCCCCGTCCCTAAAGCGGCGAAGTGAGATTTGTGGGCGGGTTCAGTGCAGCACAATAGAGCCTTAGCGTTTCAGTCTTATCAACCCATCCCAAAAGTTGTGTACATGCTTCCCGCTGGTAAAACACTGCATTTTCTCGGGGATAGGCCTAATTTCTAAGAACCCGAAAATTCCCTTTGAGGAGACTCTTCCGCCACACCAGTTCCTCATTTCAAGTGTGAAGAGAGGGAGTCTGTTTAAGGGCTTCATCGGCGCTTTGCTTTGCTTCTTTCTTGATTTTCAGTAAACTTGTCATCCACAATTGCATTAAAGGCAAACCCCGGGATGAAACTGGGTTATATGGGCGCTTCGATGACTACAGTGATAACTGAGCTGCATAATGAATTGAAAGTGGAATGGAGAACAAGAGGAATCATCGGAAACGTTGAAATTAAGGCTTCAACCTACGAGAGAACACGCCATTCGAGAGAGCACGCTGATCCCTATATCGAGGGTGGGAAGCGTTGCAACGAGGGTCGATGGTTGCAGGTTCGTAAGGATTAGCGCCCTAATCGCGCAATTTGGGCAACGAAGCTGGGTGATCTATGTAGGTACGGACCCACAATTTCCCTCGCGGTATCCTTCCTACTAGTCGGGCTAATCCCGGGGTTTGCCTTCAAGGACCACTGTTACCCCACCAATTTCATCCTGCGCTATCAGAAAGCGATCTAAGAAAAATTTCACGCGAACTTGAAGAAGAGAGCGAAAATCACATAGCTGGGGACTTCCCGAGAGAAGAGAGGAGCGAGAGAAAGAGAGGAAGTTGAGAAAGCTGAGAGCGTTTTGTGATAAGCTAAGCACTAAATAGTTCACTCATTTCAGGACTTACGACAATGAACGCATTAGTGTTTCTATTTATTCCGGATATACTGGCCTATTTTGAAATTGCCGGAATTCACAAGAAATATGCTACAGTACTGTATGCTCTGTACTGTGTCAATGTAAGATTTATGAGCTTTAAAGTAACAATTTACTATGTGAACACACTCGTGACCACTATTTCAGGTAAATTTAAATTTTATGATACTCATCACTCGTCACAAGGAAATTCGACAAAATATATCCTATTTTATTCGCGTGATTCTTTGCCGACGGACCATCTCCAATACGAACGCTAATAATTATCACAAACCACCCGGTAGTAACATTGTACCAATGGCGGGTTCACGTTTACCCCGGCCAGACACGTGATTCGCTATAACCAGCCTTTAGTAACTTATGCATGTATTATAATGTAATAAACGATTAAACATGTGTGTGTTTTCTCACAGGCTCAAAAAAAATGAACTCGTAGTACTTTACGAGCTCGTGGCCTAATTTTTCCATGCCATTTTGACATCAATAATTAAGAAATCGGCTTCTGACCATGGATATCGCTTATTAGATACATGACAAAAAAATATAGCGGTTCCAAAAAAATACCCAGTTGGCTCCTACTCTCCTCCAAAACCAGAGCGTATCCGTACGGACGGTAAGAAACGTGAAAAAAGAAATAAAAGAAACCACCGACTTTTCTTGCATTTCCCTCGTACAATAGGTAAGGGGACTCAAAGGTTGTAGTTCCAATCGCGCCTCCTTCGGTAGACACCCCGCCCACCGCTATCAGCTGCCCTCGTCTCTTTTGCCAGTCTCTGTTCTCCAAACTGTCTAAGCTCCTCCTAAACCGAACTTATAAATATCGTGCAAAACTCAGCCCACTACTGCCTTCGCCCACTTACAGTCGATATCCGAAAGTTGGGGTAGGTGTGGCACCGGAAGTGACGTGCACTTGATAGAAGTTGCGTGGATAAGCTGTTGCCAGCATGCTTTGCTGATATCCAGCGATGTATGCTGGAACAGCTTATCCACGCAACTTCTATCAAGTGCACGTCACATCCGGTGCCACACCTACCCCAACTATCGGATATCGAGTATTACCGTTGAAAATGACTTTTTCTTTCGGCTAGCTTTCACCAAATTTTTCCTTTCTCCACCCCACCTCTGAACCTAATTGCGAGGAATTCGTGGCAAACTCGCCGAACATGGTGCGCGCTTACCCAAGATCAACAGTTTAGTTATTTCCTTGTTCAGTTCATGTGATTCATAATGGTGTCAATTATTTCTCACGTGTGCCTTATGCAAACGTAATAAACTTATACTTATACTTATACTTAACATGGGACTCACCTATTTTGTTAGTTTCATATACTTTTTTCCTGTCCTCTGAGTCATCTCGGATCAGAAAGCTCCGCCCATTTGAGGGAACGCTCCACTCGGTGTTCGTGGTACACCAGAAGTATCAGTGTTATCCACCTATTTTTCTTTTGGACCGTGACCGTTTTGCAACCACGTTATTACTTTTCTAGTCAGTAGCGCCGAGTAGAATAGCGCTCGACCTACAAAGGATGTTCTCATATATGCATTCCCGGGCCCACTTTAGCCATTTTCCAGGTCTCTGGGCTGTTCTGTGACCAAAGTGGACATTTTCCCCGTCAGCATCATCTATTTGGGCCCATGCCCCGCCCACTCAGGGCGAGGCTCCACGTAGCAAATGAGCGCCTCCTCGTGCCAATGTGCCACCCATACTAGAAGTGACTTGTGCTTTCCTAGCGGTTTCTCGTGTTCACGAAATACCGAATCTCGTGACAGATTCAAAGAGACATGGAGGCACACTACGCGAATCACAAGGACAGTGTGAAAACCTCTGAAGAGGATAGTGTGGAGGCTAAAAGACAGGGTTTTCCTTGAGCCTCCACACTCTTCTTTTCGGAGGTTCGGTGTACGGTCCGCATGCGGCCAGCAGTGGTCATCAGTCTTGTCCGACAATTCCAAGAGCGTTTTCAAGCACACTTGCTGATTGCAAAAGGCGGCTTCGAGATAAGAAGGGAATTTCTCACGAGGGGAGGTCGTTCAGGGCGTGGAGCGCTTTTTGAAAACGGTTTTTTGCATGAAATAGGGGCAGGTGCAGTGAACACAGA